CTCCCTTCTTCTTTTTTTTTTTTTCATTTGAGGTAGTCTTACTTCATCACTCTGGGTAGAGTGCTGTGGCATCGTAGCTCACAGCAACCTCAAACTCTGGGGCTTCAAGTGATCCTCTTGCCTCAGCCTCCCGAGTAGCTGGGACTACTGGCACCTGCCACAATGCCTGGCTAGCTGTTCTACTTTTAGTAGAGACGTGGTCTTGCTCTTGCTCAGGCTGTTCCTGAACTCCTAAGCTCAAGCAATCTACCTGCCTTGGCCTCCCAGAGTGTTGGGATTAGAGGTGTGAGCTACCACACCCAGCCAGAAGCTCCTTCTTTTTCTTCCCCACCAACCTCATCCCCAAGTAGAGTGGATCATCCTCTCCCTGGGAGGGGTGGGCACGTACTTGTTGGGGTACTTGCGGAAGATATCCTTAATGACCACTATGGCTTCCTGGACCACGTAGTTGACCTTGGTCTGGATGAGATCCAGCAGCGTGCTCACACAGCGTTCTGCAGATTGCTGTGTAGGAAGAAGAAGAGAGTGCGGGCAAGGTCGCTGTACCCTGTCTCCAACAGTGCCTCTGATGACCACGCCTTGGCCAGGAGCTCCAAGTCACTCCTCACCCACCTTTCTCATCAGAGCAGAACAGGAAAACCTGCTCTTCAGGTAATAGGGGGGAAGACCAGTGCTAATGATGCCCCTGGGATGGAAGGGACACAGGGAGACAGAATGAAACTGAGAACAAGCCAGAAGTAGAGTTCCTGAGGGTGGGGAGGGTCCCTGGAGCTCCTCTAAGGCAAGTGGGCAAGTCAAACACTCCTCCACCTTTTGTTTGTTTATAAAATGGGCTCTTATGACCAAAAACATTTAAATAGTCTCTGCTTGGACCAGCTCTTCCACCTTTATTCCCACACACTGCGCTATCGACCTGGTTGGGGAGATTTCTCAGGATGATCAGACCACCATCACAGACACCAAGGGTTAAAAAGCCCCAGGGGTCTGGGTTGTGGGTGACCCTGGATACTGTCTCAAGATCCTCCAGCCACCAGTGGACCCATTTAAGGTGAGTCTGGCTCAGTGGTCAAAGAACATCTCCACTAGTAGAGAGAAAAGCAGGGGATGAAATGCCAGCACATCAGCGTCTGGAGTAGCCCTGGGAAGCTTGGACAAAGAGGCACATAGGCAGCTGACATACAACAGGCACAGCCCCTAAGCATGCTCAGTGAAGTGAAAGCTAAGTCTACCAGGGCCACCAGTAGCTTACAGCTGCCCCAGCATCTTAGCTAATGCTGCAGGTAAACTGTAATTATGATGGGTTAACGTAATCTACAGCAAGTCAAAGACCTAGGAGAATACAGAGTAAAAAGGAAACAACTGGATCTGTACAGTGTGGGTGCCCGCGAGACTGTAGTGGTGACACGCAGGTCATCCTGAAAGATAAGCAGCTGTAGATTCTGCTAGACTCAGACTGGTTTCCTGCTTTTGGCTCCCTTTCCCTCCCCAGCTGAGGATAGAGTCCTAGAACCTCACCTCCACCTTGATGGCACAGCGGCCAATGGCACGCACAGCCTTCCGTACAAAGTCCACATCCACTTCCGTCGCATACTCTTTCAGCTCTGCCAACACCTATGGCCCAGACAGAGAAGAGGTTCAGGGGGATCTGATGGAGCAATCTCTCAGAAAAACCCTGGGAAGTAGGTATGTATACACAGATCCCTAGAAGAATAGGATTCTGCCTCCTGCTCAAGGTAGAAAGCTCAAGGGAGATAGAGCTGTGAGGTGCCCCCAGAAGAAAGCAAGGATATATAAGCCTTGTTTTAGGTTGATCTAGCTAACACAGGTAACTACCACTTTTTAATAGTTGGATGACAGGTAATATAAGAAGAAATTCTTTTTATTTTTTACTAGCCTCACCTCCCTAGCTTAAAAACATTCTTTTTTTTTTTTTTTGCAGTTTTTATTCCAGGCTGGGTTTGCACCCGCCACCTCCAGTATATGGGGCTGATGCCCTACTCCTTGAGCCACAGGCGCCCCGCCCCCTTTTTTCTGAGACAGAGTCTTACTTTGTTATCCTTGGTAGAGTGCTGTGGAGTCACAGCTCACAGCAAAATCAAACTCTTGGACTCAAGCGATTCTCTTGCCTCAGTCTCCCAAGTAGCTGGGACTACAGGTGCCCGCCACAATGCCCAGCTATTTTTAGAAACAGGGTCTCGCTCTGGCTCAGGCTGGTCTCAAACCTGTGAGCTCAGGCAATATACCTGCTGGGATTATAGGCATGAGCCACCACGCCCAGCCCGAGAACATTCTTTAGTAACAAAAACATCAGTTGTTTTACTTGCTTACAAAGCCTCATGCCCATGCATGAAATGAACTGTTAGAAGTTACGCTCATCAGGATGCCCAGAGACCACAGCTCATTGGTGGCAGAGCTGTCCAACACCAAAGCCCATACCCTGACCACCATGCTCTGCTGACCTGGGCAATGTTGGCCTGGGAGGCCAGGCGGATCATGATGTCTAGCTTCTCCAGCTTCACGTAGATGGGGTCATTATACTTCACAAAGAAGACCTTCATCTCATGTTTCAGGATCTCAGGCCTGGTGGGGGGGTAAGATGCCCAGAGAGCAAAAAGCAAAATTTAAGCCCTATGAGAAAACCCCTCCATATTTGCTGAGATACTTCTGGAGTCTGAAATAGAGTCTAATGTTTGTGAAGGCAGAGTCACTGCCCTAGTTGCAAGTTCCTGGGCAGAGGGCCACTCATTAGCCTGAGCAAGGTTCTGATTGGCTACTGTGTGTCACCATATCACAGAAAGGCAAGAGGGAATACAGCAAGACAAGTTCACATCTTTTTTTGGTTGCAGCCTTCATTGTTGTTCGGCGGGTCCGGGCTGGATTCGAACCTGCCACCTTAGGTGTATGTGGCTGGTGCCTTAGCTGCTTAAGCCACAGGCGCCAAGCTGACAAGTTCACATCTGAGAGGTAGCAGAAACCATGTGAAAAGTCTCAGAATCAGATCTCGGTTCCAATTCTAGCTTATGACCTCAGGTCTCTGTTTCCTCACCCATGAAATGGGAATGATACTGTGAAGAAAAGAAACCTTTGAGGCCTAGCATGTGGAAACTCAGGTTCTGGGAGTGCTTTCCCTGATCCCTAAATAATAAATGTGATTAATTATGCCCATACTATTTGTACAAACACTAAGGTTTCTGACAGACATCTGCTTTTCTTCTAAGAATCTGGAATTTTGGTAGGTACCCGCAATAAAAATCTTGGGGGGTCAGTCTCAAACAGGCTCCTTGGGGCAGAAACATACACATGTTGCTGCATTTTATTGCTAGGGGAGGAGTATGCTCTGTGTGACAACCCTACAGGAAAAAGGGAACATAGGGAAGTCTCCCAGAGATTCCTCCCATCATTGTCTTTCTCCCTTAAGATCCAACTATGTATCCTTATGACATTCCTCTAATAAATCTAAGCAGTGAGTACTACTATGTGCTGAGCCCTGTGAATCTTACTGATAAATCTCTGAAGGCTGGGGGGGGGGGGTGTCCCTGGGGACCCTGACACAGATACCTACATAACAGGCCTGTTGGTGAGAGTTAGACATGAAGCTTCTAGCATGACTGATGCCTACTCAGAGAAGGTACTTGCTGGGCAGGGACTGTCACCAGAAGAGCACTTTCATGCATATCACTGCTTCTCCCTCAAAGGCAACACCCTTCTGCCCTGAACTGACACTACCCACTGCATTTTTCTTAGATAAGTCTTCCTTAGAGGACTAAGGAAACTTCAGGGGTTAAGAAGCTTGTTAGGTCACAGGGCTAATGCTAATAAGGACGGGCCTAAGATGAGAGTCATCACCCCCTGACTGCTACTCCTATGTCCTTTCCAGAACAGAAAGGAGGAAGGAACAGGATGAGGACAGATGGTAAAGGAGGGAGAAGACAGGGCCGACAGAAAGGAGGAACCTGGGTACTCAGTGCCACTGCACAACTGTGGGGAGGTACTGGCCAAGCAAGGAGGCTTGTTATGCCCTGTGGGAGAAGGGAGATCCTGGGTTGAGTAGGAGGAAGATGATTTCTGTAATTAGGATTTGGCAAAAGCTGCCCTGCCCAAATGCATGTCAGGACCAGGCCAGAATGTGTCTCAGTGACAAGAACAACTTAAAAGATTTACCATGTTAAATATAGCACAGGGAGCCCTTCACACTGATCCGGATCTTACAAGGCACTACACCTCATTAAATCTTATTAAGGGCATTGGTGTATAAAGACCCACACTGCAATTGGGAAGCCCTACTTTCATCCCTTGGTTTAGATGCTTAGAAAACTTTCCCATATTTACCAAACTTTACAAACGTCCCAATACAACCAATATCTCTGAGTCTCCCAGGAGTACTAAGAACAGACTGATGCTAGGACAAGGAGAGTGTGCTGTTGTCCAAGAGAGAATGACTATGAGAGGCCTTCATCTCTGTATATCTGCACTCAGAGCAACAGGCCTGATGTAACATATGAATACTCAATAGTAAGTTGCTACTGCCAATTCCTGATTGCTGAATAAGCGGTTTGACGAAAAAGGCTAGGAGGAGAGAATTCAGGAGGCCAATTCCACTCCCTGGGGCTGCAGATCTCCCTCATTCAGAGCTGCGTCAGAGGAAGGAAAGGATACTTTCACAGAACCCCTTAGATTCAGCTTTGTGCAACTGTTTTTCAGCTCCAGCCTACCCATGGGACCAGACCCCTTGTTTTAGGAGCAGAGATTTACTGCCGCAGTCACTGTCATGGGAGGAGGGAAATGGGCTGCCTGGCATTTGGAATTACTCTGATAGACTTCTCTCCAGACCTTGTAGCTGATAAAGTCCAACAGTTCCTTACTATCTTGGAGTCTCCGACCATTGGAAATTTAACTAGAGCCGCGGACTCTGTCCCCATGAAAAATGCACACAGAGACACATAATCTTTCACCCCATTTCAGGAGGGCTCTATGGCCTCTGAAGCCATTTAATATCCAGGTTAAGAAGCCCCAAGTCAGCTGTTACCTAGCCTGTTCCTGGTTAGGTTAAATCAGGGCTTCTTAAGCTCAGTACTGTTAACATTTTGGGTTCAAAAGTTCCCTGTTATAGAGGGTGTGCTGTGCATTATTGCATAGTGACCAATCCCTGGCCTCTACCCATGAGATGACAGTAGCATTCCCCCTGTTGTGAAAACCAAAAATGTCTCCAAGACATGGGGAAATCGACGTTGCCCCTGATTAAGAACCCCTGGGTTAAGCAATGCTTTAAGACTTCCTGAATAGTGACAGGTCAGTTTCCCTCGAGCCCCTCTTCTATGCAGAAGATCTTTGGCCTCACACAAGGATGCACACCCCAAGTGTGTGGTGATTTCGGCACCTTTTCTGTACAATGAGGTTGATGTTGCGCAGGGCCACGTACTGCAGCTCTGGCTCAGCTGATAGCAGTGTGACCAGGGGTGGAGCCAGCTTCTTGAGTAGTGTCCCATAGTAGTCCAGATCCTTAGATAACATCTCCATGAATTTCATCAGCACCTTCACAGCAGAGAGCACCACAGCAGAATTGGCATGGGAGAGCCTGGGGGTGACCCGCTCACAGATGCTAGGTTCCATCAGTTCCAATAGGACAAATAGGAAAGACAAAGGGGAAATATCCTGTTTTTAGTTATCCAAATAGAAAGCGTTCTGGAGGAGGAAGATTTAGATTCTGGTTTTGCTGCCTGCTAACTGACCCTAAGCAGGTTCAAACCACTCTGACCCTCAATTTCTTCAGCTGCTAAATGGAGATGATGCCCATTTCACTGAGTTGCCCGGGGCTTAAGTGAAATACATGTGGGAAAAAAAAAAAAAAGGAGCACAGTGCCTGGCATAGTAAATACTCCCTAAGTACCAACTCCCCCCCTTCCATTAGGGCATTCAAATGGGGCAGAAAATAATGTTGTTAAAGACCAAAAAGTCAGGTGAGTCACAGCTGGGTGACCTGTACAATTCCCTCCACTTCACTAAGCTGGAATTTCCTCATCAGTAAAATGGAGAATGGTGATGGGACCTCTCTTAGCTACTTTAAAGATTACCTAATATGAGAAAATCACCCAGCAGAGCCCCAGGTGCCTAGTGATAATTTAATGAATGGTGGCTCTGATGCTACCCATCTCTTAGACTCAGCAAAAGTGACTTGGGCTTCTCTCAGCTCCCAGGTCAAGCCATGCCTGTGTCTACAGCAGTCAGCTGACTGCCTGAGGCAATGCTACTGATCACTAGGCTCTGCAAAGGTGGGAAATAGCTGGCCTCCCTTAAGGTGTATCTGAGAATGGTTTGCAGGCAAGGCCCTAGAAAGGAGCCCACCAAGGCCTGTTACACAGCTAATGGTTAGAGGCCCCTGAGGACCAGATCTAGGGGTCCTCAGGGTAGGCTGGCAAGCAGGGGCAGCCTCCTCACCTCTGGGCCTCCCGGTCGTCCTTGGGCATATAGTTGGCCAAGCAGTCCAGAATGAAGATCTGGCCCCACTCGGTGCACTCATTTAGGGCTGTCAGCAGCTTGTTAATGGACTGTGGGTTCAAGTCGAGCAGGTTGCTACTAGGGTGAGACTCTGCAATCTCCGACAGGGCGGCCACTGCATTTGCTACCACCTGGTTGAGAGGGTGGAAGGGACAGAGGCTGAAGGCACTGCTCAGAGGCCAGGGGGCAGTGGGGCTAATGATGCTGGCTGCCCAGAGGTTGTTGATGCTTAAAGGAATATGATTGTATTGGGTAAAGTATAAAGTCACATAATAAGACCCACTCCAAGTTCTCACTCTGTTGACTCCTCTACAAACTGGAAGTAAAATATTTAAAAAAAACAAGAAAGATCTGCCTCTAAGTGTCTGACAATAGAAAGCATTCCCAGCTACCTGAACACAACAGCCTCTGTCTACCAGCTACAACGCCTCATTTCAGTGCTTGTCAATTATGCTTCTCAGCACTAGATTTCTGCAGAGCTCCCTGAGCTGGAAGAGAGGAGCTTTCCAGGTGAAGCTCTGGGTCCTCAACAACACTTCCACTAGAGCTGCTGGGTTTTTTTAGAAATAGGGCCTCATTCCATTGCCCAGGCTGAAGTACAGTGGCATGATCATAGCTTACTATAACCTTGAACTCTAAGGCTCAAATGATCTTCTTGCCTCAGCCTCTCAAGCAGCTGGGACTATAGGTGGGTGCTACCACACCTAGCTAATTTTTACTTTTTATAGAGATGAGGTCTCACTATATGGCTTTAAGTGATCCTCCTAACTTGGCCTCCCAGAGTGCTGGGATTACTGTGCAATTTTTAAGTGCATTTCTACACTGTTTTCATGTTTTCCCTGTTATGAACACTGCTCCAATAACCCATCCATGTACTGGCTACTCAGTGCCCATTTGTGGCAGTTGCTCAACATTTCTGTAGGATGCAAAGTGGGGAGGGCTGGGCCCAGGGATTTGTTCATTTCACTTCATATGGCCTCTGCAAAACTGCCCTCCAAACTACTGCCACCACTGTGGGTGATTAGAGTCCCCATCCAGGCACATCCTGATGTTCTGTCTTCCAGGCTATGCTATTTCAAGGGTGACCTGCTATGGTTTGCAAAGATGTAGGGAAAGGGAAAACACTCCATATTTGGGACTTACAGATGGTCTTGGTGAGAAGAGTGCAACAATGAGAGGGGGAAAGGGAAGGAGGGCACTATAGATTGCAGACCCACTGTATGCCAGGCCATGTCAGGCATGTCACCTTCACAGCACTCCTACCAGCCATGCGAAATTAGATCCATGTTACTGATAAAGAAAAGAGGAATATGGAAGGTTAGGCAGCTTGCTCAAGGTCACAAAGCTTGAGGGCAGAGATGGGAATCCAGGTCTAGCTCACTCCCAAGACAATAAAGGAGCCACCACAAGACACAATAACAAGTGTTGTACTTAACAGGGCTCTGAATTCTAGGAACAAGAGACTGCCTGGTGGAGAATGAGCCTAAGTCTTTCTAAGCAACCCAGAAGATGGCAGAGGTAGGTGGCAGTGGCTTACCATGGGGTTAGAGTCGGAGATAAGGTCTTTAAGGGTGTCCAAAAAGCCCTGGTCCTCTACTAGTTGGGCATTGATGTCATGAAGCTTGGCCACACACACAGCTGCTGTCTTTCGCACATATGGATCCTCATCCTTCAGGCACTTCCGGAGTGGTTCACACAGGTACTCTGTGATCTTGTCAACACGGATGCAGCCCATGGTCCGCACAGCCAACGCTCGAATGAGGGGATTGGGGTCTTCACAATCCTGAGGGGAACCAGTCATTGGCCGGGGGCAGGGTGGAATGAGCCATTTGTGGCTTCAAATTCTCCCTAGTCTACAGCTTTGAGCACTGCTGGGCTGAGCAACCAGATAGTTGCCTTGGGAATCTCCACCAACTGCAGCTGACAGTACCAAAAGTAAAAGCCATGTAAGGGGCACCTAGCATTTGCCAGATACTGTGTAGAGACTATGCATGTTATCTCCTCTGATCCCTGACTGGCCCTTGTTTCGCAGGTAAGGAGTTTGAGGCTCTCAGGAAGGTGGGATTACCCAAAGCCACACAGCAGAGCCAAGATTCAAACCCACATCCATATAGCACCACAGCCCTCGATCTTTCCACTGGGGCCATAGACACCTTCATTTTCCCACATCTGAGTATTGACAGAGCTAGGGAGCTAAGGTTCTAAAGGTGTATAGAGCTGACACTTCAATCTGGAGGACAGAAAATGTAGAAAGGGAACATAGAAGCTTTCAGATATTTGCTGAACCCTGCCCTAGCAAAGTGTACAAAGTGATGGCCTCCCCTCAAGGGGATGAGGGGATCATTAGGCCTTATAACACCTCACATGGGATGAGTTAGGCAGGTCTTTAGTTAGCACCCGATTGTCTACAGAGAGAGGGAGCCCTCTGCTGGAGGAAAAGGCCGCAGGCTGGGCAAGAGGAGACTTGTTAACTGCGAGTTCAGCTTGAATTAAGGGATTTGGGGGGACCATTTAACTTAATTATTGCTAGTTTTGAAATGTCTCTGTAAGAGTAGGGTTGACCCACATGCAGAGTAGGAGATGGGGTCACACTTATCTGTGTTTCTATGGAAACTATTTGAATATTTGTTTTACATGGATTTTTATTCACTTTTCAGACATGCTATCAAAGAGCTCCCCTCCGCTGCTCAGCAAGCGTTTGTAGCTTGTACAGTGGCAGAATGGGCCAAAAGCTTAGTGTTGTGACCTGTTTTAAGAATAAAGTATCTTGAAATTAAAAAAAAAAAAAGGAGAGTTGTGGAGTAAGGAGCTTCATTATTTTCATTATGGCCACAGGGCCCCACCCCAGGAGATTGAGGAGAGATGAAACAGTGAGCACCTCATGCCCCCACTTCCACCAAGCTCCTATTCACCTTCACAAAGGTGTTGACAGCCATAATGGCCATGTCAGGCTGACTCTTGGCATAATTCATCAAGTATAGGTATACCAGCTTCTTCAGCTCCAGGTTGTCTGTCTGCATACAGTTCACCACATCCGGGAAGAGGGCACTAAAAGGTCAAAATGGTGTTAGCAAGAGGAAGGCTAAAGAAAGAAAGAGGAAGATTTTCAGGCTGCTAGTTAGGGAGTGGGGACAGTGGCTAAGAGGTAATAAACAGGACTTCTTAGTGAAAGGGAGGGTATTATTAATGCTATGCTGCCAATGAACACCTATCAGTAGAAGCAGAATCCCAAAGGGTGATTTTAAAATAAAAAATCCTTAGATTTTTTTTGAGATAGAATCTCACTCTGTCTCAAAAAGTTGAGTTCCGTGGCGTCACAGCTCACAGCTTAAGCCCTGCAAGTCTTGGGCTTAAGTGATTCTCTTGCCTCAGCCTCCCAAGTAGCTAGGACTAAGGGCACCTGCCACAATAGCCAGCTACTTTTTGTTACAGTTGTCAGTATTGTTTTAGCTGTCCTGGACCCAGGGTTTGAACCTGCCAGCCTTGGTGTATGTGGCTGGTGCCATAACCACTGTGCTATGGGCACTGAGCCGAAAAGTCCTTAGATCTTTTCACATGATTCAAACATTATGCTTGGGAGCCCATCAAACTCAAAGCTACTTGTTAGTTGCTATGATATTCATCCTGAGTCTCAGTTTCCTCATTTGCTAGAAAGCGCAACAGAAACTCACTTCATAGGGCCCTTGGGATATTAATAACTATTATTATTATTATTGTTTTTTGAGACAGAGTCTCATTACGTCGCCCTGGGTAGAGTGCCATGGAGTTGCAGCTCATAGCAACCTCAACTCTTGGGCTTAAATGATTCTCTTGACTTAGCCTCCCAAGTAGCTGGGATTAGAGGCGCCCGCCACAATGCTCGGCTATTTTTTGGTTGTAGTTGTCATTGTTGTTTGGCAGGCTGGGGCTGGATTTGAACCTGCCAGCTCCTGTGTATGTGGCTGGCGCCCTAGTTGCAGAGTTACAGGCGTCCAACCAGTTATTTATCTTTTTTTAGAGATAGGGTTTTGCTCTGTCACCTAGGCTGGAACACAGTGGAGTGATCACAGCTCACTATAATCTTAGACTCAAGTTATCTTCCAGCCTTAGCCTCCTAAGTAGCTGAGACTATAGGTATGCACCCTCATGCCCAGCTAATTAAAAAAAAATGTCTTAGAGATCTTGCAACATTGCCCAGGCTAGTCTCAAATTCCTGGCCTCAAGTGATCCTCCTATCTTGGCTTCCAAAGTGCTGGGGTTATAGGCATGAACCACCATGCCCAGACCCTTATAATAATTAAATGAGACAACATATTTAAGATATTTAGTCTTTGATATCTGGGAGGTGCTGAGTAAATGAAAATGATTCTGCTGATACTTAACATGATCTCTCACATTGGGCGGCTGATTCTGGAAGGCTATAGGAAAGCGGGATGGACCACATTGTTTTTATAAGGGGCAGCTCTAGCACTAAAAACCAGCACCTGCTATGTGCCAGGCTTGGTGCTAAGGCTTTTATATGTACTTGATCCCATTTAACTACCCTGAGAAGCTTAGGGTTTAGACGATACTGAGTTTCATAAATGACAAATAACCTGCCTGAAAGAGCCAGGTCTGACTCCAAATCCTGTGTTCATGACTACTGGGTGGAACCCTTCCCAACATGGTACCCATGGTGTGTCCCAGGCCCTACTGAGATGTGAAATATAATTAAGATCAATTTTCTATCTCTAGAATCATTACTTCCCTTCTCAGTTCTTGTGCATTTACAGTTAAGGCCATGGCAACATGGTCAAAGTGAACTTCCTGAGTCCCAACAGGCAGGAGACCAGCTGAAGCTGAAATGGATGTGTCACCTTGGAAGATGATACATAAGGAAGAATAGGGAGTGGGGAGCAGGGTAAGGAGGAGGGGGAAGAACTGCCAAGGAGCCTGACTTAATCTTTTGGGTTCGTCATGTAAGCAAACCAAGCTCTTTTGAGACAAAAGAACAAAGATGTTTCCTCTGTGAGGAGGTGATAGTAGTGCTCTAGTTAAAGGACAGCAGCTTTGTCCTGGAAGGAATCTGACTTGAAAGGAGGCCTGATCTTCTAGCAGACGCCTGTTCCTTCCGTTTCTCTGTATTCAGCAGGTCTCTGAATAGCTGCCTCTCCTGAGTCCTCATCAGGAGGCCCCTGGCTGAGGGTGGCAATGGGATAGGGCAATGCATGGGGAAGCAGGAATCGTATGATCCTATCACAGGACCTGGATGGGAAACTATTCCATGTCAGCACCCAGGCAAGGCACAGGGCTGAGAACCGTGAGGGCACAAAGCAGAGTGTATGGATAAAAACAGCCTGGATTTCGATTTCAGAAGGGCTAGGCTTGAATTGTTGGTCTGCCATAAACCTTGTCACTGATAAGCAGCCATTTTACTCTTTCATCTTATTTCTCTGTCAGTTAAAACTTCCATTACCCATAATATGTGAACTTTAAGAAACCACTGAGAAAACATATCTGAAAGTATTCTGTAGATTCTCAAATACTGTGCAAATATTAAGTAGTTATAAAATCTTGTCCCTGGGGTCTTTACAATGTGGTAGGCAGGCAAACACAGTACACATAAGAGAACAATCTAGATTTAGTGACTAGTGACAGGAACAGAAAGCAAATGCTGTGAGTTCAGGGCAGTAGGCTGGGGTGATGAGGGAAGGCAGACTTTGATCAGGTTTTAAAAGATGGGAAAACAAGCCAGGTTACCAGGCGTTCCCGGTAGGGGGAAGCACGGGCAAAGATGTGCCAGCCATTCTGTACCTAATCTGCTCCAGCCAGCAGGTGCAAACCAGAGGTGGCAAACTGGCAACAAATTAGAGAAATACAAATTGCAGTGTGTTTCACTTGGACCATGCAGTATTTAATATTATCTGGCCGTTTAAAATAGGGAAGTTTAAAATGAAAAAATATATAGCTTTCACATTTTTTTCTTTTGAAAAACCAGAAGACCTAGCTGCACTGGGTCCTCTTCCCCAACTGGCAGGAATCCTCTGGAGTTTTTGGTAGGGCTCATGCAACACCAACTCCATTTCTCACTGCCTTTTTGAGTTAGTCCAAGTCACTCACTCCATTACCACCTGACCCATCAGCATTGAGCTCATGATTCCTATATAAAAAAAACGCCCTGCTAGGAATGGAGGATTACGGAGGGAGCTACATGAGGGGTGAGGGGACATATGGCTCCTTTGATACCACAAAGGAGATATGGACTGGACCCAAGACATAAACCCTCCCCTGTAAGATGGCTCTGCCACCACCCAGCCTACTCCTGCACACCTGACATCTTTGCCCACAGTCATTGATGCAATCACTTTTTTCACTGCCTCCTTCTTCTTCTCCTTCTTGTCACTGTTGAGCTCGGCCTTCAACTCGAAGATTTCCCCTAAGAAAAGGAAGCAAGCATAAGCAATCCTTCCCCACCCTTCCAGAGGATAATTTCTTGTCCCCAAAAGAACTGGACGGAGGGAAGTAAGATAACTGTGCTGCCAGATAAGGGCAGCTTAAGGCCCCTGGCCTCAGGTGTGTCAGGCAGCAGTGAGGGATTACTGTTAGGAATTATCAAGATGGAAGCTTGGAGGCCATGCTGGATTGAAGAGATGGAAACTACAAACATTACAAGGGAGACAAACAGTTGGATGGCAAGTCCTGCTCAGCCAGACTCCTAAAAACCCAGAGGAAGACAAAGTTCTCCTCAAGCAAAGGCCCTCAAGGGTGAATGTGATGGAACGTGGGTACTTAAGTTTTGTGGGGAGAGGGCAGGATTTGATCAACTTCAAACATAGGCTTTTCCTGTTTTCCTAGAACCTCTAGTTAAAACAGCTTGCTCAGGGTTTCACTTCCTGAGTCACAAGTGGTTGCTGAGCTCTGAAAATGGGAATTCAGCTGATACATGAGGCTTCTAGCATGTAATAAATTGTTCTGAAGAACTTGATGATCTGGAAAAAGCAAATGAGGAAGTAGGGTTGTTCAAGGCCCTGCCCTGGACAGTGAGGACCCTGATAACAGGATAGGAGTACAGACATTAACTTCTGGAATCTTCCCCTAAGCCTAGTGCCACATTAAATTTTTCCCATACTTTTTCTCATTTCATCATTACATCAACTCTGCATTTTCACCCATTTTGCAGATGAACAAATGGAGGTTATAAGAGGCTTGGTAACTGATACAGCTAGCAGATGGCAGGGCCAGATTCAAAACCAGGTCTGGTGGGTCCTAATCATGTGTTCTAAATCCCCAAGCTTGCGCCTACCCTAGCCACTCACTTTGCTTCTCTGAATGCATTTCCTTATCTGTATTCCTTCTCTTGACTAGGGTGTTGAACCCAGAAATCTCTCCTCAGACATTCTTGCCAAAAGAAAACCCACAAAAAAGCCACTACGGACATTCCAATACACTCAGGCCTAAGTTCACTCCCACCAGGCTCCACATGACTGATCCCTGTATATCTCTTCAACTTCTTTTTTTTTTTTTTTTTTCCCGGCTTTGGTATCAAGATGATAATGGATT